GTCATGCAGCAGCCAGAAACATCTAGGAGACAGCCAAAGAGATAAGGGAACAATCTCAGGCTGAGGGGGCAGCCAGAGAAACAAGGAAACAGCTGGAGGGACAAGGGGACAGTGTCTGAGCCTGAGGAACAGTGGGATTGTCAAACATCTGAAGAGACTACAAAACAGTCCTTGTATTTGGAAGAGTCAGAGAGACTACAAAACAGCCAGAACAACAGGGGATAGACACTGAGGATCAGGCCACAGCCCAAAAGGCCAAGGAACAGTCTCTGAAGTACAGGGAACAGAAAAATAAAATATCAGTCTGAAAGACTAGGGAACCACCAGAGTCCAAGGAATAATTGCAGGGATTGAAAAAACAGCCAACAAACCAGCATACAGAGATCAGGGAACAATAACTGGTCCTAAAATAGGGTCATCAGAAACTGTGGGGAGTAATCACAGAGACCAAAGACACTATACTGATGACTAGTGGGAATTCAACAGACATAGTCATGGGAGCTAGTATAGCATCAGCAGACATGGCTATGGGAACTCATGGGGGTCAGACACTATACTGGTGGCTAATACAGGATCATCTGAAAGCACGAAGGGCTCTAATGTAGGGTAGGCTCTAATGAGTCCCAGGCATTATGCTGAGGCTCATGAGGTCAATACACTGTACTAGGGGATAATGAGGGACCAGCAGCCACAGGGGTGGGAGTAGTAAATGGCCTGATGCTGGGGAGGAGACAAATCACCACTTAGTGGTGGCTAATGGCTAATCAGCAGTGATAAAAGGCTAACGTGGAGTCAGCAGACACCGGGCTGATTTTTTATGAAGATCAAGGGCACTGTACTTGCGACCAAGATTAGCAGACACAGTGATGACACTAATAGAGTCAGCAGCAGATATCGTGACTGAGAAACGTGAGGCAAAGACTCTAAACTAGTGTCTGGTAGTCAGCAGTCACCGTGTTGAGGCTAACATAGTTAGCAGACACAGTGATGGGCTCTAATGTATGGTCAATGTGCACTGTACTGGGGCATCATTGCATTCAGACACTGTATTAGTGGCTAATGGGGGATCAACAGGCACAGTGATGAGGGTTAATGCAGGGTTAGCAACACTGTGATTGGGACTTATGAGGGTCAAAGACACTGTACTCATGGCTAATGGGTGGTCAGCAAGGTGAGGATAGTGTGGAATCAGCAGACACTGTGCTAGAAGCTCACGGAGGTTAATCTCTGCTCTTGTGGCTAATTGAGGATCAGTAGACAGAGTGATGGTAGCTAAGGTAGGGTCAGCCAGTACATTGATGGGGCCTCATGGGTGTCAAAGAAACTGTACTGTTGGCTAATGGAGGATCAACAGACACCATGATGGGGGCTAACGTGGGGTCAGCAAACTCTATACTCAGGCCTCAAGCAGTCAAAGACACAATACTAGTGGTTAAAAGGGGGGTGGGAATCACCATGCCGAGTCTAAAGGAGGACAAAAAGACATGATACTGAGTTAATGGAGGACCGTCAGTCACTAAGCCAGCTACAGGGGTGAAGAGACACTACGCTGTAAGTAAATGGGGGTCAGCAAAAATTGTAATGGCTGCTAGAAGGAGTGGTGAGACATGATGCTATGAGTGAATGGGAGGGGTGGTTGGCAGACTCTGCTGGAGCAAAAAGTTGTGATAAGACAAGATGTTGTGAGCTAATGATAGGTCAGCAGACATTGTACACTGGGCTAAAGGGGGTGATAAGAACTGCTGTAAGCTAATGGGGTGTTAGTAGACACTGTGCTGACATGTCATGGGGTAAAAACTACTGTTGTGGTGGCTAATGGAGAATCAGGAGGGACTGTGCTTAGGCTATGGGGAAGCAAATACACACAGTAGTGTTGGCCAGTGGGGGTCTCCACATAAGTGATAGTAGCTAATGGAGGGCCAGGACAACCCATCATGGGGCCTCAGTAAAGGTCATTTTAATGGAGCAAGATCATTTCCAAAGCCTTGGGAGGACTAAGTCTCCCACTGCCAGTGTCTTTCATCTGATCTGGTGGTCCAGATTCCTGGTTTTCTCCCAGGCAGCCCATACCATTCCTGGTGTGGGAACAGGGATCTTATTGTCATTTTTAAATTTTAATTGAGATAAAATTTACATACAATAAAATGCACAAATCTTAAGTTTACTCATTTGATGACTATTGTGTATACCCATTAACGCATACTCCAATCAAGCCACAGAATAGTTCCATCACTCCAGGAAGTTCTGCCTACCCTTTATGAGTTAACTCTCACCCTAGAGGCAACCATTGATCTGCTTTCTGTCGCTATAGATCACTTTTATTTCTGTTTGACATTTTCCATAATAATAATAATTTTAAAACATAAAATTTAATGTTTTAAATGGATGAGCTCAAGATTAGAAGAACTGATGAGATGGCATCTTGATAAATGTAATACTTAGTAAATGAGAGTGAGGGCATGCTGTATACCAAATGCAGAGTGTAATATGTATATTCAAGTGTATACTGTATCTGGGGGCATCTGATGATTAATTCAAATAACCTGGGTCGTCATAATCATTATGGAACACTCAGGAAAAAAAGGTATTTAATTTAGCATCAATTTACTATGGCATAGTGCTACCAAATACTAAAGGTAAAGGATTCGCTTTTGCTTTTCAAAAAAGGTGCAATAGAAAACATTCTCAGACAAAGTTGAGAGGTTTGCCACTAACAGACCTCCACTAAAGGGTATTTTTCAGGCAAAGAAGAAAATAATCCTGGAGGGAATGCAGAAAGGAATGAAGAGCAACCAAGGTGGTGAATATGTGGGAAAAATGAAATGAATATATAAAACAAAAATGTTTTCTGCGGGTATGTGTGTGTGTGTGTGTGTGTGTGTGTGTGTATATATATATATATATATATATATATACACCCATACATATATTACATATATATATATAAACTCCATAATGCATCATTATATTTTGAAATATATATGTATGTACATGTATATGAGCAAAGTTTCTATTAAAAGATTAACTTTCAAAGACAATTTCTTGGCAAAAAAACAGAAAATACTATTGAAGCTCAAAAAAGATGAGTCAAATAAAAAGACAAACCACATTCATGGATGGAAAGGCTTAAAGCCATTTTATGCCTTTCAGATTGGCAACAATTTAAAAGACTGATAATAAGTCCCAGTGAATATGGGAAAATGTAAACTTTTTCTCAAACTGCTCATGAGAGTATAAATTAGTACAACTTAAAAGGAAAAAAATTCAATATTTAGTCAAATTAAAAAACTTCTGTATCAATTAGAACCCAGCTAGGAGACAGAAATAATACCAGTTATTTTAATAGAGAGAACTTATTATAAAGAACTTTTAACTAGTTATGAAGTTACTAACCACGTAACCAAAAAGACAAAAAGAGAACATTAAAATTATCATGGAGGTAGCAACTGCAGAAAGCAGCTGGGCTGGGACAACAGGGGAGGAAATCGGAATTATTAAAAATTAGAAGGTTGGAGAAGGGGTCTCATGTGGCTGGGACTCACCTCTAAGGAAGTGGCACCAGTCAGCTGCTGCTAGCGTCTCTGAGAGGGTGGGGACCAGAAGGCTGTGAGTGCTGGAAAACTGCACACTGGACTAAGCTGCTGCGACCATGAGGAACTGCTGCTGCTGCCCGAGTGAAGAAGCGATGCTTGGCTGACACTCCGATGAACAGGGAGCTCACAGAAAGAAAGAAAAGGGGGCAAGTCCCTGCTTCCTTCCCTAGGCTCACAGCTTATATTTAGTATCTCTTATTGGCAAGGCTCAACACGGAACAGCTGGCAAGACAGAAACATGTTTTGTAGAGTCACAGCCCCAGCATCACAAAGCACAGTATAGAAGGGTGGTTTCAGAGCTGGGGCACAACAGCTTAATAACTGGCACGCTGCCTACACCCTGTGCCCCATCAGTTCCACTTCAAGATGTAGACACCAAACACAGAAACAGTACAAATGTCTTTCACTAGGGGAATGAAGAGATAAATGAATAAACTAGACATATAGATCTTGGAAAGGTAACATTTCATGAAGAAAGCAAGCTGCAGAAGTTTAAACATAGTGTGATACCATACATGTAAAGTTTTTAAAAGCAATATAGCATTATATATTGCGGAATTCACACCATTCAAAAACAAACCCAGGGTAGGGCCGGCCCTGTGGCTTAGCGGTTGGGTGCGCGCGCTCCGCTGCTGGTGGCCCGGGTTCGGATCCCAGGCGCGCACCGACACACCACTTCTCTGGCCATGCTGAGGCCACGTCCCGCATACAGCAACTAGAAGGATGTGCAGCTATGACATACGACTATCTACTGGGGCTTTGGGGGAAAAAAATAAATAAATAAAATCTTTAAAAAAAACAAAACAAAACTCAGGGTAGATTAAAATTCCAAATGTTGAATGGAAAACCTTAACTTTAGAAGAAAGTATAGGAGAATATTATCACCTTGAAACTGATAATATTAAAACATAAAACCTCAGCAGAAGAAAAGAGTTAACAAAATTAAAGAACTAGCCACAGTCTGGGAGAAGATATTCGCAACACACATGACTTTTTATATTGTCATATGTTAAAAAAAAAAAACAAGAACATTTAAACCAAGAAGTAAAAGATAAACAGCCTATTAGAAAACAATGAGCAGGGGGCCAGCCCTGTGGCTTAGTGGTTAAGTGCGCGCGCTCCGCTACTGGCGGCCCGGGTTCGGGTCCCAGGCGCGCACTGACGCACCGCTTGTCCAGCCATGCTGAGGCCGCGTCCCACATACAGCAACTAGAAGGATGTGCAACTATGACATACAACTATCTACTGGGGGCTTGGGGAGAAAAAGGGAAAAAAAAAGAAGGAGGAGGATTGGCAATAGTTGTTAGCTCGGGGCCAGTCTTCCTCAGCAAAAAGAGGAGGATTGGCATGGATGTTAGCTCAGGGCTGATCTTCCTCACAAAAAAAAAAGGAAAACAATGAGCAAAGGATATGAATAGTCAATGTGCAGAAGAAAAAACCCAAATGGCCAATCAGTAAGTAAGATGTTCAACCTTACCACTAATTAGGGAAACCCAAATGAAATGAAAACAACAATGAGCTATCCCCTAAGGGATCAGGACATAGTTTCACACCAATGTAGAAGTCAAATTGTTACAGGTGCACTCTGTGCCCTGCTGATCAGATGGCCCAAAGGGCTTGATCCAACGGTGAGGGGGTGTCTTCACAGAGAAGCTTTCTCCACAGTACAAGGCAAGAGCCGACCTGTGTGAGTTCTCTGATGTTCTGTGAGGTGTGCTTTCCTGCAGAAAGCTTTCCCACATTCTTGACATTCAAAGGGTCTCTCTCCTGTGTGAATTCGCTGATGTTCAATAAGGCGTACTTTCACATAGAAGGCATTTCCGCATTCACTACATTCATAAGGTTTCTCTCCTGTGTGAGTCTTCTGGTGTTGACAAAGAGACTTCTTCATACTGAAAATTTTTCCACATTCACTACATTCATAGGGTTTCTCTCCTGAATGCATTCTCTGATGTTCAATGAGGCGTGCTTTGACATAGAAGGCATTACCACATTTATTACATTCATAAGGTTTCTCTCCTGTGTGAATTCGCTGATGTATCCCGAGAGATGAGTGCACCCTGAAAGATTTCCCACATTCATTACACTGATAGGGTTTTTCACCTGTGTGAGTTCTCTGATGATTATTGAGAGTCATCTTCATTCTGAAGAATTTCCCACATTCATCACATTTATAGGGTTTCTCACCCGTGTGAATTCTTTGATGTTGATTTAGGGATTTCTTTGCACGGAAGTTTTTCCCACAGTCACCACATTCGTAGGGTTTCTCCCCTGTGTGAGTTCTCTGGTGTTGGGTAAGGGACGTCTTAACACGAAATGTTTTCCTACATTCACTACATTCATAGGGTTTCTCCCCTGTGTGAGTTCTCTGATGAATCATGAGGGTTGCCTTCTCAGAAAAGGTTTTCCTACATTCACTACATTGATAGGGTCTCTCTCCTGTGTGTGTTCTCCAATGTAGAATGAGTTGTGATTTCCTGCCAAAAGATTTCCCACACTCATTACATTCAAAAGGCTTCTCCCCCGTGTGAGTTTTCTGATGAGCAATGAGGTATGATCTTGCACTAAAGGTTTTTGCACATTCACCACATTTATAGGGTCTCTCCCCTGTGTGTATTCTCAGATGTTCAATAAGGTTTGATTTCCTGCAGTAAGTTTTCCCACATTCATGACATTCAAAGTTTTTATTTCCTGTGTGTATTCTTTTATGTCCAACAAAGCCAATTTTCTTGTAGAATACTTTCCCATATCCATTATATTCAATAGTTTGATCCAAAGTTTGAATCTTCTGATGCTGAAGGTCATTATCATGCCTGAGGGCATCATCCCCAACAGAATTGTTGCCACACAGCAGTGAGAGAGATCCTTTAAAAGCAAATCAGATCATATCACTCTTTCACTCAAAACCCAACAATGCTTCCCTTCTCACAGTATAAAATTAAAGTGTTTAACATAGCCTCTAAAAATTATCATAAGTTGGCTCCCAGCTAACTCTCTGATATCACCTGTTAACACTCTCACCACCCACCCTTAAGCCACATCAGCCTCTTTGCTATTCCTAGGGTATATCATTCAGACTAGGCTTGGCACTTACTGTTCTCTCTGCCCAGAATACTCAAAATCTACATGGCTCCATCTCTCTCACTTCACTGATGCTGGTGCACTAATGTTAACCTCACAAAAGTCTTCCCTGACCACATTCCCTAAAAGCACATGCCCCAGCATCTATCCTTCTTATCTTGTACTGATTTTCTTTTCATCACCAAACATTATGTATTTGTTTGTTTCTGGTCTCTTTCCTCCATTAGACTGCAAGCTCTGGGAGAATAGAGATATCAGTGTATTCACTACTGGATCCCCACACCTAGAACGTGACCAGCATATAGCTGACATTCATTTTAGATTTGGTAGATCACTAAATGAATGAATGAATGCATGCCTGACAACAGAAGGCATCCAAGGCAATGGAGGGAGGGAAGGCAACTGAGAATACTAAAGAGAGAGACTAGCTAAGAATAAATTTCTAAGACGAGGCAGGCATGGATAGAGAAGAGTGGCAAATAACTATAAAAATCAAGATAAAATAGGAGAGAGCACTTAAGTGTAAGCATGATATTGGCATGTGTGACTTAGGTTGTGAAGCATGTAGACCTTCTGTCCTCCAGTCATTTTCAAAAAGCCAAGGGCCTCTAAAAAGAGATTCTTGAAAAACACTGCCCAAAGTGTTCTCACCTGAATTCCTGGGCTCTCATTTCCCATTTTCCGTAGGTCTAGTTCTTGCTCACTCACCTGGGTAACCATGGCCTGAGGATTCCTCCTCTAATATCCACAGCTCTTCTCCTCGCTCCAACTTGAAGATCATCTCTGGTTTGGCCACGCAGAGGCCTGTTAATGGGAAATGGCACAGGACATGGGCCAAGTTGTCTGAGCTTTAGGGCCTCTGATGGAGGAGGGTGCATCTTCATAAGCTGCACAAGGAAGGGGGCCCATTTAAACCTTTCATTGGGGGAAGTAAGAACACACACGCTCTTCCTAGTGCCCCAAACTGATCAATCATCTCTGACCCTTGAATCTAAAACTAAAGTATCATTAAACTCTACAAAGCCTGCACATGTTACAGAAACCAAGAAAGGAAACACATGCCACCAGGAGTTACATGGATAATAATCCTCACCCACAGATGCCAGGTTGCTGTAGTTCTCCAGCATCACATCCTTGTGCATGGTCCTCTGAGCAGGGTCCAGTCTGTGCCACTCCTGCCGGGTAAAATCCACAGCCACGTCCTCAAATGACACAGATCCCTGTAACAACAATCTGCAATGATCAGAACGAGACACATGGAAAAGATGTGTGGGAACTAATTCTCTCAATAGAGCACTATTGAGAGTTGACTAGAAAAAGCTACCCTGGACACGTGACTCTGTGTCTTGCTTGATATTATACTTTGTCGGGGGAAAACCCAGAACAGCCCTGCTACCGTGTTAATTTATCAAATCATGAAGAAAAGACTACTGACTACTGAGTTAACACTATGTGCCTGGACCTGTCCCAATTACTGGGGAAATGAAAAGGAATGAGATGGAGTGCCTGCTCTCAAGGAGCTCATACCCCAGTACAGAGACTTGTATAAGAACACATACCTGTGACAAGGTGTTACAGGAGCTATGCTGGACATATGCACAGGGTACTATGGGCTTTCCCAAGGGATGGAACGAGATTCCACTTTCTGTTATCAGATTGAACTTCACTTGAGGAGGTAGAGCTTTGAATCCTTAAAAAAGAATATCATTTCCCTCACAAATATGGGGTAACAGCATAAGAAAAGGCAGGAAGACATGAAACACACATGGTGATTTATGAAACTACATCATAGCACAGTATGACAAGAAAATAGCGTTCAGGCTGTGATGAAATAAAGAGCTATTTAGGGGCCAGACAGTGGAGGAATTTTCAACTGTTTTTCCCTATAGATCATCAGTCTCCAGAATACTTAACTTCTTATACCATCAGAATATTTTCAGACCTTCCCACAATATACTTATATTTATAAATTATACAGAAGTACTGACAAGTGGGAGAAAGGGAGAGAATATTACTCCAGGATAATGGCATGACCAGTTGGATTGAGGCTGGTGCCATATATTGAAATTAGCAAAACATGAGAGACAATGCGTTGGCAGAAGGGGAAACGGAGATAGATCTTGGACCTGAGCTGGAGTGTTTATGGCACATTCTGATAGAGACATTCAGTTGGCAGGTGGATATATGATTCTGGAGCTCAGGAGAGAAGGCTAGGATAGACCAAGGATTGGGAGACAACAGCATTTCAATACTAGCTGAAGGGCCGGCTCCGTGGCTTAGCGGTTGAGTGCGCGCGCTCTGATGCTGGCGGCCTGGGTTCGGATCCCGGGAGCGCCCCGAGGCACCACTTCTCCGTCCAACGTGAGGCCGAGTCCCACGTACAGCAACTAGAAGGATGTGAACCTATGACATACAACTGTCTGCTGGGGCTTTGGGGGGAAAAAAAACTGAATAAATAAAATCTTTAAAAAAAAAAAAAAAAATACTAGCTGAAGCCACCAGAATAAAACGGATGGCTAAGAGAGAACACAGAGCTTGAGAGAAGCACTAAGTAGAGAGTCAGCAGGGACATCAATGTGACATGAAGATTGAAGGGGGGCCCAAATGGGACAGATAAAATGGGAGAAATCTTTTTTTTTCCTCATGCAGTCCTGCCGCAAAGTAAGCCCCAGTGCTAAAATTGCAACCACCCAGCAGCAGGCCCCTCAAACTCTAAAGAAGAGGAGTCCTTTTCTTTGGCCAGAGGAATAGTGGTCTGAAGAGTGTGAGAAAAATCCCCATTGCCTTTTTTCTAACCTCCCACCACTTGGACCCAAGGGCAAATCTGGTTGTAGAAAGTGAGTGCCAGAGTGAAGAGACTAAAGCCCCAACTGTCCAGCCAGAGGACCAGGACTGGGGACCCCTGGAGCAGGAGTGTGGGGGAGACTGCTCTAATAATATAGCTTCAAAATACATGAAGCAAAACTGAAAGAACTAAAAAATAGAAATGGGCAAATTCACAATTACAGCTGCTGACTTTCAACACCTCTCTTAGTAATAAAATCAACAAGATATAGAAAAACTGAACACCACCAATCAACCAATTGACTGTGCAGACCATTCCACTCAAAAATTGAGAGATTAACAGTTTCTTCAAGTACACATGGAATATTCACCAAGTTAGACCATATCCTGGATCATAAAACAAACCTCAACACAATCAAAGGGCCACCCACTGGGTACCAAGAAAAAGTGACCTGGAACAATCAACTCTGAGATATATCCTAACAAAACTATTAGAATTTAAAGAAAAGGGAAAAAAAATCCTCAGGGCCTTCAGGCAAAAAGATGAAATAACTTACAAGGCAAGAGAATTAGACTGGCCTATGGAAAACAGTATGGAGATGTCTCAAAAAATTAAAAATAGAAATATCATATGATCCAGCTATTCCACTTCTGGGTATTTATCCAAAGAACATGAAAATACTAATTTGAAAAGATATATGCACCCCTATGTTCATCACAGCATTATTCACAATAGCCAAGACTTGGAAGGAACCCAAGTGCCCACCAATAGATGAATGGATAAAGAAGATGTGGTATATATACACAATGGAATACTACTCAGCCATAAAAAAGATGAAATTGTGCCATGTGCAACAATATAGATGGACCTTGAGGGTATTATGCTAAGCAAAATAAGTCAGACAGAGGAAGACAAATACCATACAATTTCACTCATATGTGGAAGATAAACAGATAGAAGGGCGTGGGGAGAGAGTGAAAGGGGTAAAGGGGCACATGTGTACAGAGATGGATAAAAACTAGACTTTTGGTGGTGAATAGGATGCAGTCTATACAGAAGCCACAATATAATGATGTACAGCTGAAATTTACACAATGTTATAAACCAATGTGCCCTCAATAAAATAATAATAAAAAACAAATAAAATTTTAAAATAAAAAAGAAAATTAGATTGGCATCAATTTCTCTATTTTTTTATGAGGAAGATTAGCTCTGAGCTAACATCTGTTGCCAATCCTCCTCTTTTTGCTGAGGAAGACTGGCCCTGGGCTAACGTCCTTGCCCATCTTTCTCTACTTTATATGGGACGTCGCCACAGCATGGCTTGATAAGCAGTGCGTAGGTCTGCACCTGGGATCCAAACCCACAAACCCTGGGCTGCCAAAGCAGAGTGCGCGAACTTAACCACTACACCACTGGGCTGGCCCCTGGCATCAATTTCTCAAAAACAATATACAAAGCAAAGCAATAGTAGAACAGTATTTTCAAGAAACTTAAGGAAAAAAAGTACAAACACAGGAAGTTATAGCCAGCCAAGATACCCTTCAAGTATCAAGGCCATTAGAAAAACAGTTTTAAATGTGCCAGAACACTTGTGCCCTTCCTAAGGAATTTAATAGAGCTGCACTGACCAATACAGTAGCCACTAGCAACATGCGGCCATTTAAATTTAAATTTTGACTAATTAAAATGGAACAAAATAGGGGCCAGCCCCATGGCCTAGTGGTTAAGTTCAGTGCACTCCGCTTTGGAGGCCCAGGTTCAGTTCCCAGGCACAGACCTACACCATTCATCAGTGGCCATGCTGTGGCAGCGACCTACATAAAAAATAGAGGAAGACTGGCACAGATGTTAGCTCAGGGAAAATCTTCCTCAGCAAAAAAATAATAATAATAATAAAGAATAAAATGGAATAAAATAGCAAATCAGTTCCTCAGTCACTCTAGGCACATTTCCAGTGCTCAATAGCCCCATGTGGCTAGTTATACTACTGGACAGCAAAGACACAGAACATTCCCATCACTGCAGCAAGTTCTCTTGGACAGCACTATACTAAATGACGAGCTTCAGCCAACTGAAAACCATGAATGGGAAAATTTTGGCAAAAGGACTGACAGTAAGCATTTCATATATTTAATTGTAAAGCTAAGACTAAAACAAGGCTGGGGTCATAGGCTGAAGGATAATGTATAAACATTAAGTGTTCTGACACAGTAGAAAAAGTGCAACTAAAAAATGGGAGGAGAAGAGAAAGAAAAAGAGGAAAGCTGAATAAGATCACTGACTGCTAGATAGGTAACAGGTGAGAGACAAATTAGATGGTAAAAGATTAATAAAGAAAAAGTAAAATGGTGCAGCCACTATGGAAAACAGTATGGAGGCTCCTCCAAAAATTAAAAATAGAACTACTACATGATCCATCAATCCCACTTTTGGGTATCTATCCAAAGGAAATGAAATCCCTATCCCGAAGAGATATCTGCACTCCCATGTTCACTGCAGCATTATTCACACTGGTCAAGATATAGAAACAACAACAAACAACACATAGAGACAGAGATCGGATTGGTGGTTACCAGACGGGAAGAGGGGAGGGAGGAGGGTGAAAGTGATAATTAGGCACGTGTGTGGTGATGGATTGTAATTAGTATTTGGGTGGTGAACATGAGAACATGATGTAATCCATGCAGAAATAGAAGTATAATGATGTACACCTGAAATTTATACAATGTTATAAACCAACGTTACTGCAATAAACAAAAAAAATTTTTAAATAAATAAATAAAATAAAGAATCATTAAAAAAAAAAGATATGGAAACAACCTAAGTGTCCATCAACAGATGAATGGACAAAGAAGATGTGGTGTATATATATTACAATGGAACACTTGCTCAGTCATGAGAAAGAATGAAATCCTGCCATTTGTGACAACATGGATGAACCTGGAGGACATTATGCTAAGTGAAATAAGTCAGACAGAGAAAGACAAATACTGTATGATCTCATTTATATGTGGAATCTAAAAAAAAAGTTGAACTCATAAAAGCAGAGTAGAATGGTGGTTACCAGGGGTATGGGGGAAGTGGGGAGACATTGGTCAGAGTACAAAGTTACAGTTACATAGGATGAGTAAGTTTAGAGATCTAATGTACAGGCATGATGACTATACTTAATAATACTGTATTGAACAATGGAAATATGCTATGAGAATAGATTTCAGGTACACTCATCACACAAAAAAAATAGTAACTATGATGTGAGGAGATGATATGTTAATTAGCTTGACTATAGTCATCATTTCACTATGTATATGTATATCAAATCATCATGTTGTACAGCTTAAATATATAAAATTTTTATAAATAAATAGTAAATAAAAAGAAAGAAAGAAAAAAGGGTTGACTAAGGGTACCACAAAAAGTATTAACTCAAAGACAACCACCAGCATAAA